AACTCGTAGCTCGAATGTCTTCATCATTTCTTTTGAAATTATGAACAGTTATTACTCTTTGCTGAACCTCCTCATTCAGAATGTGGAAGCGCTTCAGTTAGTACTATTTTATTTTACAATTTGAAACGAATTTATCACTATCCTTCATGAATTCTTATCTAGAAGGGATTGTGAACAAAGGAAATTCATTTGATGTAGGATGATGCTCTTGTGCTAAAGTCTTAATTAAAATGACTATGAATAATCAAGCAATTCAAAATTGAAGAGATGTTTAGAAAGGTATTTTTTGAAATGGAACATTTTCTTTCAATAAACTTCATGATAATTCAGCCTTAGGGTAGTGTCTTAGTCATGCATTTTTTTCCAAGAAATCAATGACTTATTGACATTGGGAAATAGTTTTTAGAATAAAATATGTCTTATGTATGTAATGATTTCAAACCGTCAACGAATACTTTTTGTAAGCTACGTTTAGCATCGTCACTAAAATCTCAGAACTTGTCATTGTTCATTAGTTTGCCATTCGCATAATTCAATAGTGATGTATCCAGCGTGGTATTCTCATAAAATTGTCGAGAAGACCTATGTCAGTTTTTTTTCTGGCCATTAATTTTGTAATGATTTTTCTCTTTTTCTTCTGCCCCTCTTCTCCGTTCTCCCACCTCTCTTCTTGCTTCTTATTTAGGTTATTCATCTTTTCGACAAATTCGAACAATGTCTGAGCGCCTGCACCTCCTAACCTCCACAAGGGCAATGTGTTACGGTAGTTGCGCGCGCGAAGGCTGTATGGAATGTGTGTATTTTTGAGGGCGGATGACCACACTGAGGTAATTGAATGCTGTGTGTGTGAGGAGGAGAAATCGCGGACGGGGCGACGGAGTGAAAATGAATGAATAAAGGCACGAGTAGTTCGACAAACACAACGCACCAGCCGCGCAGCGTACGACCACAGCTACTGTTGGAAGCTTTCGTGGTTTAGTCAGTGGGGAGCTGCTAACTGCGATAAATCAGCTACTGATCGAAATTTCACGATGAGCGGTAAATGGCGAGCAATGGTGACTTGAGGACTGATAAACATAGAAAAAATAGCTTTTTAGATCACGTAGGACATGAGATGAGTTTGGTTTAATCAAAATTAACTTTTAAAGCGCTACAAAATATATGGTGCATCTTTCTTTACTGTCCCAAAATTATGCATCATCTAACGGTTTTTTACTTTCTGCACTTCGGTACCGAAAAACGTGGACATAGTGAGATCTGACATCTTTCAGCTCCCCAGTCATTTCCCGCAATATCACTGGGATTATTGAAAAGAACCCAGTCGATTTTTGTCATCTGATGATTCCTGTCACTGTAGTTCTAAACTCTTATTTGCATGAACTTTCAAGATGCATAAACAAGTTGCATCCTACTCTTCCAGGAATAACATAGTAATCAGATTTTTTGCGAGACATCTTCAGTAAAAATGAGTTCAAACTAAAACCAAAATTAACGTGACATTTCTTGAGGAGAAGTTAAATAGCGGACTACGCATTCAATAAAATTTAAAAAATGTGTTTAAGCTCATCCTCTTTATTCCCCAATCCTAAATTCACATATCTTGGAAATTCAGATTGAAAAGTTGTCTAAAGGCTTGTTTCGGAGTTTTACATTCTTTTGTTGTAATATTTACTTCTTCATAATTCGATTATAGATTTCAAGCAATTTTCCTGGCTGTTTTTCCTTACAAAATCAAAGTTTTTTCGTCTTACAATTAAAACAGAATCTCTCCGCTCATCTCTTTGTAAAATGTCATTGTGCCGAACTCAGAGCCTTTGAGAGGCGTGTAGAAGTTAAAGTTTCTTCAAGATAAGTCATTGTATCACCTCTGTCATCTGAACTTGAGTAAACATCTCACTTTTTACTAATGAGAAGCAGATGTTGTGTTCTTGTCCCTAGGGCGAAACACTTGGGAGTAGAATTTGGTAACTTTATTAAAATAGTAGATTTACCTCGATTTCTACAAAATTCTCATTTTCAAAACAGGTGTTCTTCAAAGAATCCTGAGTGCAATGGTGATTCTTACCAAAATAGCTCAACCTAACTAACCGAGAACATCACTTCCACTTTACACGATTATGATACCGTAAACTAACGCACAGAGTTGTGTAATGTGTAATACGCTTACATTACGTACACTACATTAATAGCCAGAATTGAGAAGGCCTTAAGATGTTATCACGGCATGAAACAGTCATGTTATTCCGCATCAAGCGTGTTTATGAAACTTTCAATAACAAAGATCACAAAGAAGAACTGAGTAAATAATCGAAGTCCTTGAAAAAAAAAAGACAAAATAATTTCAACGAGAATTCCTGAAAGTATAGATGAATTGATGACGCTTTTTTTAAAACAGAAATATAGTAAATAAGTTGTCATGAATATGTTTTGAGCACAATTTAGAAGATTTCTCTTAGTTGAATGGCAATCTTACTTTTTTCAAGCGAAAATTGTTTTCTATGAAATGGAAAGGGCAGCTTTTACCACAGCAGAGCTCTTCACCTGCATAACTTCTCATTAAATTTAAAGAGTAACGGCATTAGTAGCAGATATCAGTGTAGTAAAACTAGTAGTAGATTGATGGTAGGTCGAATGAGATAAGCTACTTGGTTGGTCATGCATACCAGTCTGTATCAAATTGCAAGTTGCATCTTCAGGGAAATAGTTTTGAGGGAAACAATACCTTTGTGCATTCAACAGATCATATCTGTTGCAAATCGGTATCCACAACTTTATTTTTTCGCAAAAGTGTTAGTATCAATAGCAAAACTTGTTAAAAAAAATTATGCCCTCTACTTTTTTTAAGGCGGTGGCATTGCAACACATACTAAAAAAATTAATGATTACTTCAAAACAAAATGTCAAACCTTCTCATGGCTGTAAAAGATTTCGAGAATTGACTATAGTGACTGATCTCATACAGTATCATCTTGACCTTGCTTGTTAGTGATTAAACGACTTGCGTCATATGATAGTTTTGCAAATTGACGAATGAATAAGAGTGATGAGTACATGCCTCTCCATTTCGTTTCATTTGGGATGTGGAACTCAAGTTGGAAAGCCGCTTATCTCGCTATAAGCGATTCAGCTTAAAGCTCATTGTTTGAGCGGTTGTGAAACGACCGCAGTGATTTTTGCGGTCGCCCTCGTTTTGTTTGATCATCGACCGATATGATACGCAAATAGTGTGCGCATTAGAGAGCAAACGCTCCATCGTCGTCGGCTTCCGTGTTCTCGTGCTTTACCTCATCATCAGAGCTGCTGTTGCACTTCTAATCGTTTGCTAATCTATCATCTGTATTTCTAATCTATCATCGCCAACTGCTTTGCTACCACAAACTCACACTCTCATATCACTCATCATGCGAACATAGTTTTTGCTCAAGAGAGTTAGTGATTAGAGAATGACTGTAGGCGAATTTCAGGTGCTCCGTTGCCGTCAGCGACGATGGATGAAATCGACGATGCGCAGGCGATGGACGCCTCTCCCATCGACCTCTCCA